GCGCAGGAAACAATACGTTGTAGTGGTCCTCAAGCTGTAGATAATTTCGTCAAAAATATTGTGACACTCTTGGCTGGAAAAAATTATATTCTCCTCCAGGGGCCACTACAGCAGAAAAACTCTTGCATCCTTCCCACGTGGCGGTAAATCCTCAACCATGTTGATATTCAGCGATCCGTTGTTCGTCGTGATCCCAGCCGAACACATGGGGTCGCTCGGCCTTTTGCGGTGTTCTTTCGCAATGGGAGATGCAACTCATTTGTGATCAGTTCGTCAGATCAACAAAGCAGCCAAAATCTATCGATAACATCTGCATAAATGCCTACGTCATTGCAAAATTTGAAGGAGTTCCAAAAAATAACCGTTTCGAAACTTTTCTTCTCCGGACGATGCTATGTTCGTTCCCATTTTCACGATTGCTTAGAGCAAATAACGCATAACTCCTCCTTTTCCTGCCTCATGCACCGCCCTCTTGCTTTTAGTTGTCTAGAAAGACTGCTTAAAAGGGCCACCATTCCCTGGTATTTGACCATCTGCAGTGCTGCTTTCGTCTCACATTACTTCGTTTGCCAAAGCCATCTTGCGCTCATTACGAACGGTGTTTCACAAGGCGGTAGATCTCATTTGCCACCGCATAAACCTCATTGTATGTTCGTACAGCGAGTACGTCAGATGCCACATAACTCCTCCAAGACTGCATAGCTTAGAGCAAATTAGTTTACCAGAAGTTCGCGGTCTAAGGATTACAGATTCCAATCCCAGCCAGATTATCGTATTTCCTTTTTCTGAGGTAAGCGAATAAGTGCCAATGCGTGAGAGACAGAAAGAGGGGAAATAGGCAACTACGTGTTACATTGCTAGACCGTACGTGTTGTAGATACCGTTAACGCACTTTCTAAAAATTAGAGCATTTTTTACTGACCGTGTCGTACCAGAGGTCAGTGCTACTTTATGAACTCCGATGCAATACCACTAACAAAATTCGATATTACGAAACTTTGAGAGGGATCGACATCTGAACGCACAATATTTTTTATTTTCTCTTGCATTTTCCCTCCCTCTTCATAGATGCTATTCGCTCTATGTCCCTCATTTAGATATGTGGTTCGATTCCACAATTAGAAATGCGGATGTCATATATTGCCCACCAAAAATCAAATCAAACCATGTTCATATAATTAATAATCCTCGTACCTTCCCTCTCAGTGATGATATGTTCCAATTTCCGATTATAAGCTCCCGCTAACGGTGTTGTTCCCGGGTGCTGCCATGACATCGCGTTCTCTGCCTCTTCCACTCATAAGAAGTAGCGGCTTCGTTGTTGATTGGTATCTTCATCGTCGTTTCGTCGATCTTCACCGGTTCATCGGTTTTGGTGCGCTATGCACCAGCTGCCAGAAGGCGGTGACGGCAATGCCATGAGAGCATGTGGCTAAGTTTTACCGAGACTTCGCCACGGTTTCCAACCCTCTTTCTCTCTCCTTCGGGCTTGGGACCGGTAACTGCGGAGTTCAACCCTGATCCATGGAATAAAATAACAATGTCATAGCTACCCTAATGTATCTGACCACCATTTTTAACCCGCTATCCCTTTTAGGTGATGTTACAGCAGCCACAACTTTGCCCGTGTTTTCGGTTTGCGTCAGTTGTCCAAGCTGGACGGATTTAATCCAAAGAAGTGACAAACAAAACTGCACACTATGAAAATGATGATGAGCAATAAAATTTGTGAGGTTAATCTAGCAACATGTCAAAATGAGATCTCCATAAGTCTTTATCGATTCACTACTGCATGAGTATCTTTCAAGATTTTGAGTCAAAATTTGTACTTCTGCAATTCTTGTTGACCTTGCTCCAGTTTTTTTACCATCTACAGCATTCCACCTGGAGATCTTCCCAGAGACTGTTTACTGTAGCTTGAAACCCAGTTAGATATCGTTTTGATCCAACGATGGTTTTCTCTCAGGTTTCTATCCCGTTCATTGCCATTTCAACTTCTTCGCTCTGTCAGTGGCATGACAGCCATGTTTTACCCATTCGTTCGTCTTTCCATTTCTAGTTTTCTCCAACATATACATTCCTCGTACATCATTTGATTCTGCGTTGTGCAGTCTTCAGTTTATGAGCAGCTTTCAGGCTTAGGGTCAACGTTTCGCACTCATCGGCTAGTACTTTGAGCACACTGGTCGGAAACTTCGTTTCAAGCACAGGGGCAATTTCAAGCTTAAAAACGCTTTCAGTCTTCCAGAACTGCTTCATGTCATTCATGTTTATTCTTCTGTCGATTTCGTTGAGTAGGTTCTCTTCTGCAGACATGAGCTGTTCCACATAGACGTGTCAAACGGGATACTCGTTCCTATTTCTCTGATGATGATAGTGTCGTGCTGTGTTCACACGTGATGAGATTGTTTACAATAAAGTTGTTCGCAAGTTATGGCGGCATTGCTATGCCGCTGTTATCAGATGTTTACCATGCAAATGGCGAATAATTTTATTATTCCACTGTTTCCTGATAGCATCCATAAAGAGTGTTCGTTGCGTTCTTCGTGCTTACGATTCGTTGTTCCTCATTCCTGAGGTACACGACATTTCAGTCGCATTCCCTGTGACTTAGCACGTACAGTATCGACGCTTTTCTAAGAACTTCTGATCGTCTTCTTTTACAACGCCCTTCTACAACTATCAAGGTAATACTTGTTTTTCTGTTTGCTTAGATTTGAACTGCAGTGTCTGTCCTTAGCTGAACGTTTCTTCTGAGGGGGACAATGTCTCTCAGGCTAAAGGTCAATCTTGAACTTAGGAGATGCGAGGTTCGAATCCCAACGACCTTCTTAACTAGTAATTCCCTTGAGAAATGAATTCCCTCTTCGTTGGCTTGGTGCAACCAGCGGAGAAACGGTTACCTAACGATGACCTGCCAACAATGGACCACGATGGCAGACTAGTGTGGTCATATGAAAATCAGCTAGTAATACGGCCATGTAGTCTACAAACTTGATAGTTGACTAATTATGATAATCAGTAAATTCCATTTAAATTCATTCCATTCCATTTAATAAATCCAATTTATTCCATTTATTTCTCAAGCCGAGCGTTTCGACTGAATTATCTGTTTTTCTGCTATGATTTTTATCGCTTATAAATGAATATTTTTCATTTTTTGTTATATATTCTTTTGGCCTTATAAAAATCTACATCAAACAAGTCGGT